GCTCCGGCGTGACTCCCGCTGTCCTCGCAGACGGCTGCCGCTCCGACCCCGCCTGCGACCCCGAGGCCGCCTTCTCCGAGCGCTGAGCCCCACCGCGCCCCTTGTCCCCCGCCCGAAGTAATGATAGTAAAATAAAACGGATCTTCCTTCTCCAACCTGACTCGTGTGTGTCTCCAGGGTCTGAGTGGGAGGGAGGGGCACTGGGGGTGGAAAAGTGCCCTGGCCTGGTCCCCCCCACACACACACAGGCCTGTGACAATGAAGAGAAGAGCCACAGGGCCCAGAGGGGACGCTGGGGACTGTTCCAGGTGCCACCATCCCTAGGGGATGGAGAGGCACTGACCAGCCTGCCCAGCCCATGGGAACACCCCAGCTCCCCACTCCCAACACAAGATGGGACCTGCAAGCTGGCTGAAGAGCTTCCAGACCTGGTGGCTGCCGGTGGCTCGCGCCGGGAAACCCAGCTATGCAGAGGCTGTGATCTGAGGTCCTGGCTCACAGCCAGCCTGATCAGAAACCCCCCCCCCTTTTTTTTTTTTTTGCTAGTCCTGGGGTTTGAACTCAGGGCCTGGGCACTGTCCCTGAGCTTCTTTTGCTCAAGGCTAGCACTCTACCACTTTAGCCACAACACCACTTCTAGCCTTTTCTGTTTATGTGGTACTCAGGAATTGAACCCAGGCTAGCAAGCACTCTACCACTAAGCCACATTCCCAGCCAGTCCTTGACATTTTATCTCCAATTAAATAGCTAAAAGCTAGGAGTGGAATTGTGGCCAAGTAGTAGAGTGGCAGTTTTGAGCAAAAAAGCTAAGGGACAGTGCCCAGGCCCTGAGTTCAAGCTCTAGTATAGGCAGGTGGGCACACACACACACACACGGAACTTTGGGAAGTCCCAAAAGACAAGAGTGAATGAATGGACAAGGACCGGGCCCACCTGGTGAACGGGAAGCTGGCAGTGCAGAGGGAATGACTGAATGACTCCTAGAGGAGATTTGAGCCATACATGGAAAGTTAGGGGAACAGGGCTAGCCTGATAGGGGTGGTGGAAGGGGGCACCCCAAGGGCCTTATTTTCCCCAAGAGTAAGACTCTCAACCAGGCCCCAAGGAGGCCATGGAGCTGTCTTCTGGGGGAGCTGAGCACAGGCAGGGCTATCACTAGTGCTGGGCCTGAACCCAGGGGCCCTACTGCCTATGAAGTAAGAGAATCTGCCCAAGCTGGGCACCCTGCAGGCGGACGGGCAACCCTGAGAGTCCACCCTGAAGAATGAGTCCAAAGCCAAAAGGAGGAAAGGCCTAGCAACAAGCTGTATCCACAAAATGAGGAAAAGAAGAAAGACAAGCAGCAACTAGTGATCACTGAACACAACATAATCAATAGAAAAATAATGAGAGATAATGATTGTTATCTATAGGTAAAAAGAACAAGACACAAAAACAATCATTATGAGCTAGGCACTGGTGGCTCATTCCGTAATCCTAGCTATTCAGGAGACTGAGATCGTAGGCTCAAAGTTTGAAGCCAGCCCAGGCAGGAAAGTCCAAATGACTCATCTCCAATTAACTGCCAGAAAAGCCTGATGTGAAGCTGTGGCTCAAATGGTAGAGCTCTAGCCTTGATCGTAAAAAGCTCAGGCCCTAAGTTCAAACTCCAGGACTGGCAAAAAAAAAATTATGCAATTATATCTAATAATATATAATATTCTATCTATTTTTTTTCTGGTTCTGAGGCTTGAACTCAGGGCCTGGGCACTGTCCCTGAGCCTCTTTGTGCTCAAGACTAGCACTCTACCACTTGAGGCACAATGCCACTTCTGGCTTTTTCTGGGTAGTTTATTCAAGGTAAGAGTCTCACAGACTTTTCTGCCCAGGATGGCTTCAAACTATGATCCTCAGATCTCACCATCCTGAGTTGCTAGGATTACAAGCATGAGCCACTAATGAATGGCAATTTTTAAAAATTATCTTTAAACAGTTGCCCAAAGCGGTTGCCACGTAACAAAGCAGCTTATGGATACAATGCGTCTTGATGTTATCACCCCTTTCAACATTCTCCCTTCACCATTAAAACTTTTGAAGCCAGAGATGTCTAAAAAACCTTACACTCAACAAGTAGAGAAAGTGTGGCTTTAAAGGTACACATATGAAATGCTCACAAAACCAACCCTGCGCTTGTCATAAAAGAAGGCAATTATAAGGTAGGAGCCAACATTATACTGATTATAATCCCTGACCTCAATGCATAAAATTAAAGAAACTGAAAGGATGATTAAAGAAAATTCGCATGTGTCTGCATTTCAAATACATATTAGAAAATAACCCTGGGGTTAGCACTGTGATCATCATGAAATTACTGATACTTAGAATAGGGAGGGTAACACTGGAGGGGACAGGAAGACATCGGGGTGAAGGCAGAAATGTGTAGGTGTATACCTTTGTTGCTGGAGGTGACAGGTAAGGGACATTGCATCAAGCTATGGTGCTTACTCGGTAGCTGGGATACCATGTTGAGTCTCTCAAACTTTTATGTTCAGGCTGGCCTTGAACTGCAATCCTCCAAACTCTGCCTCCTAATTAGTTAGGATTAAAAGTTTGAGCCAGAATGCCTGGCTAAATGTGGATTTTATTTTTATGTTCATGGGTCTTGAACTCAGGGCCTGGGCACTGTCTTTGAGCTTTTCTGCTCAAGGTTAGCGCTCTACCACTTTGAGCCACAGCACCATGACTGGTTTTCTGGTGGTTAATTGGAGATAAGAGTCACAGAATTTCCTGGCCAGGCTGGCTTTGAACCGTGATCTTCAGATCTCAGCCTCCTAAGTAGCTAGGATAACAGGCATGAGTCACTGGTGCCAGGCTTAAATTTGGATTCTTTTTTTTTGCCGGTCATGAGTCTTGAACTCTGGGCTTAGGCACTGTCTTTGCGCTCTTCAGCTCAAGGCCAGTGCTCTACTGCTTATGCCACAGGACCACTTCTGGTTTTCTGGTGGTTTATTGGAGATGAGTCTCACAGACTTTCCTGCCCCAGCTGGCTTTGAACCGTGATCCTCAGATCTCAGCCTCCTGAGTAGCTAGGATTACAGGCATGAGCCACCAGCGCCCTGCTAAATTTGGATCTTTTATGTCCTCAAAGGCCCATGTGTTAAATTTCCCCAGCTTGATGTTATTGGGAGACAGTGGAATATTAATTAGTTAATTAAGAGCTGTTACTAGGGCTTCAACTCAGGGCCTCACACTCTTACTTGGCTTTTTCATTCAAAACTGGTGCTCTTCCACATAGTTCCAATCTAGCTTCTTTTCTGGCATGAGCCCCTGGCGCCCGGCTCTTTTCTTTTCTTTTTGAGACAGGGTTCCACCAAGGGCTAGCCTTAAACTAGAGATACTCCTTCCCTAAAGCTAACACTGCCACTTTGAGCCACAGCTCCACTTCCTGCTTTTTTTGGTGGTTAATTGGAGATAAGAGTCTTGTGGACTTTCTTGTGCAAGCTGGCTTTGAACCAGTGAGAGGCACCAGTGGCTCATGCCTGTAAATCCTAGCTACTCATATTTGAGGATCAAGGTTCAAAGCTAGGCCAGGCAGAAAAGTCCATGAGACTCTTATCTCCAATTAACTACCAAATAGCCAGAAGTAGAGCTGTAGCTCAAAGAGGTAGAGCACTAGCCTTGAACAAAAAAGCTCAGGGTCTGAGTTCAAGCCCCATAACTGACCAAACAATAAATAAAAATAAAAACAAACAACTAGAAACTTGGTTCAAGGCTCTAATTTCAAATCTTGGTATCACCAGGAAAAACAGTATGTATATGGGCCAACTTTTGCTGGGCATAGGAAGCTCATGCCTGTAATCCTAGCTACTCAGAAGGGACAGATCGGAAGGATTGTAGTTTGAGGCCAGCACAAGCAAGAAGTTAGTGAGAGCCTATCTCAACTAATAACTCGGAAGGAAACAAATAACAGGATCACAGTACAAGCAGGCTCAGGTATTTACAAAGACTCAAATCAGAAAATAACTGAAGCAAAAAGGGCTGGGGAATGACTCAAGTGGTAGTTTGCTTGCCTAATAAGTAATATAAGGCCCCGAGTTCAGATCCCAAGACCACTAAAATATAGCAAGGGGAGGTTGATAGTGTGGCTCAGTGGTGGGACACATGCACGGGGCCCTGAGTTCAATCCTTAGCACAAAAAATAGTGGAAATTAATAAAACAAAAGCTATTAATATTTTTAAGGCATTAACCAGCCTTTGTTGAGATTCAACAAAGTGTGTGTTTGCTTGTCCCAGGGCATGAACTTAGGGTCTCGGTTCTGTCCCTGACCACCTTCTCCTTCTCCTTCTCCTTCTTCTTCTTGTCAGTTGTGGGACTTGAACTCTGGGCCTGGATACTCTACCACTTGAGCCACAGCACCACTTCTGGTTTTTGAGTGCTTAATTGGAGGTAAGAGTCTCACAGGGACTTTTCTGCCCAGGCTAACTTTAAACCATAATCCTCAGATCTCAGCCTCCTGAGTAGCTAGGATTATAGGCATGAGCCATCAGTACATGGCTCCTAACCTTCTTTTTGCTCAAGGCTAGTTAGCACTATACCATTTGAGCCACAGCTCTACTTCTGGCTTTTGTGGTTAATTGAAGGTAAGAGTCCTATGGACTTTTCTGCCAGGGCTGGTTTTGAGCCTCAGTAGTCAGATCTCAGCTTCCTGAATAGCTAGAATTACAAGTGTGAGCTACTGGCACTTGGCTTATCAGGAAATATTTTAGAGAAGATGCTGATGTCACCACTTTATGAAACAGGAGGTGTAGAGGCTTGGATACCTTGCTCTGGAGTGTCACTAGCTGTGGCAGCCCCTGCACCCCTGGAGGGGCTGAGCACAGACCGCGCAGAGCTTCCTGAGAGTGCTCTGTAGCTGGGTCAGGGGACTCCAGGGAGGAGGGAAGGAATACAAAGATGTCCAGAGACAGAGAGCAGGGTGGGGGTAGGCAGATGTAGCAACATCTCAGAGGAAGGACTTGACTGATCTGGAGACAGGTGGAAGAAAACAGGTAGCAGAGGCTCTACCTTGGAGTAGGAGGCTCTGAATCTCATTGTGAAATGTGCAAGCCCAGACACAAGGCTGGGGATTAGATCCTGTGCAGCCAAACCACATCCCTCTTCTACCTTCCTCTGTCACAAAGAACTGATAGCCTTCCCTTTAGGTCTGGCCCTACCTAGCTCTACCCCATTTAGGGGCAGACCCTAAATAAGGCCACATGTGGAGAACGCAGGAATCCATGGTGGGGAGACACTGCCCGGCCCTGCCTCACCTAGATCCACCTGGTCCCTCTCTGCACTGCCACTGCAGAGGCAGTCTCTGCAGGGGTCAAAGGTGAAAGCCAAGGGAGCACTGAGGAGGCCAAAGGGCTCTTGGGTGGGCAGTGTGGGTCACAGGCTCGGCCCCTGGCCTGGGTGGAGGGGGTCAGCCGGCCATCTCTCTGCCTGTGCTCTCTCCTGGCGTCAGTGTCTGCTGAGAAAGCCATATAACCTCTTGTGGACCCAAGTCTTGAAACAAGACAGCCAAGGAAAAGACACCCTGGAAGATGGGAGGTTCCCAGGGCTTCAGGGACAGAGGACACAAGGGAGGGAAGAGAAGCAAGGAGGGACAAGGGGCTGGAGGGAAAGGAAATGAGGGGATGAAGGGGACGGAGGGCAGGGACGAGTACTAGAGACATCTTTGCCCTGTGTTCAAGGATGAGAGGGTCCTATGTGTGGGAGCCAGTGCGTGTGTGATGTGAATATGGACTTGGTGATCCTCGTGTTCATCTGTCATCGCTGTGGTTTCTCTGGGCACACCTATGGGTTGGGCCTGGGCGCTGTCCCTCAGCTCTTCAGCTCAAGGCTAGCACTCTACCACTTGAGCCACAGTGCCACTTCCGGCTTTTTTTCATTTTGCTTATGTGGTGCTGAGGAATCGAACCCAGGGCCTCAGGCATGCAAGGCAAGCGCTCTACCACTGAGCCGCCTTCCCAGCCCTCACACCTATGGTTTTTTAACGGTGTCTGTCTGTGGGTGAGGTCAAGAGTCATGGACGTGTCGCTAATAATTTTTTTTTTCAGTGCTAGAGGAACCAGGACCAGGTGCATGGTAGGCAATGTTCTAACCCCTCACCTGTCTTGTCTGTTTTTCTGAGTGTGTGGGCTGCATGGGGCTGGCGTCCATGAGTTTGCAGCTCTGTTCTCCCTACAGTCTCTCTCCCACACTGAGGGCCTTAATGGTTGTGGCACAGGGCATATAGTAGCCTGAGTGCCCTCTGCTAGGTCCACAGTGCTGTGTCTAACCCACTCCACACACAAGCACAGCCTTGGATGGACGAGGCCTTGCCCTGGGAATCTGAGAACCCGGGGGAGGTCCCTTGGGTGGAAGTGAAGCCTGCCCTGCTCTCTCAGCTTCTGTGTCATCTCTCTCCATCCTTCTGCTTTATCTCTTGTGCACCAATGCCTTCCCCCTCCCTGCTTTTGTTCTTTCTTGTTGTTGTTGGTCATCCCCAGATTGCACTGGTTCCTTCCTGCCTGCCTGCCTGCCTGCCTCCCTCCCCCTCTACCTCTCTCTCCTTCCCTCCGTCCCCACTTCCTCTCTTTTCCTGGGGCTTGAACTCAGGTCCCTTTCCTTTTTGCTCGGTCTACCACTTGCCCCACAGTTCAACTTTCAGCTTTCTTCCTCTGGCTTATTGAAGAGAAGAGTCTCATAGACTTTCTTGCCCAGGCTGGCTTCAGCCCCTTCTGAGTCGCTTAGGATTATAGGTGTGGTTTTAGAAGCATCTTTGCTGGCCTGAAGATCGTTTCCTTTACCGATTTGTTCTTTCTCTGGGGTGGATCTGCCCACAACTTAGTACCTCTTTTTTGGGGGGGAGTTGGGGGAGGCAGTCCTGGGACTTGAACTCAGAGCCTGGGCACTATCCCTGAGCTTTTTTTTTGTCGGTCGTGGAGCTTGAACTCTGGGCCTGGGCACTGTTCCTGACTCTTCGCTTGAGCCACAGCACCATTTCCGGTTTTCCGAGTGGTTTGTTGGAGATAAGAGTCTCTCAGTCTTTCCTGCCCAGGCTGGCTTTGAACCGCGATCCTCAGATCTCAGCCTCCTGAGTAGCTAGGATTACAGGCGTGAGCCACGGGCGCCTGGCCCTGAGCTTCTTTTGCTCCAAGCTAGCACTCCAGCGCCACTTCTGCCTTTTTCCTGTGTATGTGGTGCTGAGGAATCGAACCCAGGGCTTCATGCACGCAAGGCAAGCGCTCTACCACTGAGCCACCTTCCCAGCTCCTGCGCACAACTTAGGATGCAGGACCCGGCCAGGGCGGGGTAGGGGATCCGCGCGCCCTTTCCTTCTGCCCCTCCCTCCCCACCCCTAGAGACGGGAAACAGACACCGTGGTGCACTTCCAAGGTTTATTTCCGAGCTGCAGGGGCGGGGGTGGGGGGGC